ACTCACTGCATTTGAGTGGTTCATATCACTTAAGATGTCAAGCCTCACCCACACTGAAACACACTTCTGGAAACTCTCCCTTCTTAACGCTGAACACTGTTATCTTTATTAGCTGTGTATGAGTGTTTTGCCTGCATGTATGTATGTGCACTATCTATGCTTGCCTGGTGCCCTTGGAGGCCAGAAGAGGATGCTGGATCCCCAGAACCTGGAGTTACAGATGGCTGAGTCATCACATGGGACCTTAGAACCAAAACTTTGCTCATAGCTGCCAAGCTGATTCTCCAGTCCCCTGAACTGTATTTCATAGTTACCCACATGTCATCTTCTGCCTGCTTGTGTGTTTGTGTGTGCATGGACAATGCTTTCACTGTTTAGCTCTTGTGAATGATGCTGCTATTAAACTTGTTTTTATATTATTTATTTGTTCATTTATTTGGTTTTTCCAAGACAGGGTTTCTCTGTGTGACTCACTCTGTAGTCCAGGCTGGCCTCAAACTTACAGAGAACCAGCCCCTGCCTCCCGAGTATTGGGACCAAAGACATGTGCCACAACCACCCGGCTGGACTTGTTTTTAACTTGACATCAGGGTCTTTTCATCATCAAACAGTACCTATTTCCAATATTAACATTATTATTTTAAGACGAAACCTCAAGAACCTTGAAGCCTACAAGCAGCTTGCCATTCCTACCTCAACCATCGTCCATTTTAGAGACAGAAGAAGACGATAACTTTGGGGAAAATCTCATTGCTCTTTTTATCTCCTTGAATATAAGATTTTTTTAATGTTTTTATTTTTTGAAAGAGAGTCTCCTGTACTTCATGTTAGATTCATACTTAATCACATAAGGATGGCCTTGAAATGATCCCCCTGCCTCAGCCTCCCAAGTGTTGGAATTCCAGGTATGCACCACTGCACCCAGCTCTGAGCACAGGAATTTCACCTCACCTCTGCAGAAGTCTGTTTGTATGTAATATGTGATACGAAAGCAGAAATGGTACCGTTTGGAGAGAGGGAGGGACCAGCGAGGGGGTGGCAGGGGAGGCAAGGGAAGGTGATGGGTGGGGCTGCAACAAAGTATCATGACTTATAAATATGAAAATGCCGCAATAAAACTCGCTACCTTGCATGCTACCTTAAAATCAATACATTTTATCTAGCAACATTTAGTGTGTGTGTGTGTGTGTGTGTGTGTGTGTGTTGTGTGTACATGTGTGCCTATGTGAATCCTTGTCACCTGCAGACATACCCAAGGAGTCCAGAACAAGACAACAAATACCCTGGAGTACTATATGAGCGTTGGGAACCAAACTTGGTCCTTTGGAAGAACAAGTGCTCTTCACTGCTGAGCCTTCTCCCTGCCCCTATTTTTTTTTGAGGCGGGTCTCATTAGGTAGCCCTGGCTGGCCTCAAATTCACGAAGATCCACTTGCCTCTGCCTCCCCAGTGTTGAGATTAAAGATGTGACCCACTATAAGCAACCAATAAAAATTTAAACCTAAGTAACCTCCAATATCGCGTTACGGTTATTTAGAATGATGGTATTAGGGGATGGTGAATGAGAAACATTGCATAATCACCTCACAATAAAAGGCTCTGTCTTAAACATAACTAGGGAGAGTGTTCCATCCCTAACGAAACTGGTAGTTCCCAATAGGAAATCATTACTCATTTCCACAATGAGACTTGAGTTCAGCATTTATGGTTTTCCTTTTTTGTTTGTTTGGCATGTGGTATAAACACTTAGTCTCTCATGTAATTACTGCTTTGTTATAACTCACTAGTCTTTTGACTTTTGCCTTTCTTTTTTTTTTTTTTGCGAGAAGAAAAAAGAGGCAAGCATAATAGTGGTATATCATCAAATATCACTAGTTTTCGTTATTGTGTGTGTGTGCACATGTGTACACATTTGCCAGGCTACACATATGGAGGTCAACTTCCAGAAGCTGCTGTGGAAATCAGTGAGAAGACATCCCAAAAGGCTAGAAATAGAACCACTATGAGATCCAGTGTATCAAGTATTGATCACGGGTCTCTAAATGAACAACTGTTAGAAGGAAATATATATGTAAATACCTGTATATATGTATATGCATATATTCATTCTAACAATTGTGTATATGTACATATATACATCACACACACACACACACACACACACACACACACACACACACACAGGACTTAGTACTGAGTGAGTATAGTCCCTGGTCTATCTTCTGACAGGAAGGTCAAGGATCTGACAGTTGTTAGCCCATGAGACTGTTGTTTTGGCAGCCCCAATCTGGTGCTGGAGTCCCAGGTAAGACCTAGGGAGTGGACAGTTTTCAGACCATGTTGGATCCTGAATAAGCAGATTTCTAATGCCATTGAAGGGATGGCTCAGGGGCAGAATAGATGAACTTGTCAGTGAAAGAGAGGGCAAGCAGGCAAAAAGCAAAGCCCCCTTCTTCCATGTCCTTTTTTATGTATGGCCCAGATTTAGGATGGATCTTCCACCTCAAGTAATCCAACCCAGAAAAATGCCAGCTACTTGAGTCTAGCCAATTCCAGATGTAGTCTGGGTGACTAATGAAATTGCAGTAATTTACACAACGGAATCTTATTCAGCTGTAAAGAAAAGTGAGCATGCAGATTAAAGCAGCTCTCAACCCTAATCAGAGAAGCTCATACGTGGGAAGTGGTTAATACAGAGACTCCCAACCGGTCAAAGCAAGGAGAATAAGCATCTGCGGAGGACATGGCCTATATCACCCACCCTCCCCCAAGACTCAGAGGATGTCATGGAAGGGGGGAGGAAAGAGTCAGAGGCTTCTAGACATAACAGGACCTCTTGACAGGCATTTGTGACTGAGATACAACGGGGTCCCCATGGCTGCAGAGTTACCTGTGCCGTTTCTGCAGAGCTGAGCTGATGAGCTTAGCAGCAGGCCATGTCAGAGTCTCTGCTGTCTGTGGCACAGAGCCCTAATGAAGGTTGATGACAGGTGTCTCTCCCACTGCTGTAATTCCGACTTGCATAGTTCAGATTATTTCACTTCCATGTTTTAAAACATAAGGACAAAGCTCACTGAGGATTTGCAGTGATAAAACACCAAGCACTGTTCTATTGCTGTGATAAAGCACCATGACCAGGGCAACTTATAAAAGGAAGCATGTATTTGATGATTAAAGTTCCAGAAGTATGGGAATCCATCACCATCATGGCAGGAAGTGTTGTAGTGGGCAGGCAGGCAGGCAGGCATGGCGCTGGAGCAGAAACGGAGAGCTCACATCCTGATCCACAGAGGGGAAGTACAGCAAGCACATGCTGGAAAGTCTTTTGAAATGTCAAAGCCTGCCCCCAATGACACAGCTTCTCCAACAAAACCACTCCGCTCCATCCTTCTCAAACAGCTCTACCAGCAAGGGACCAAGCCTTCAAACACATGAGCCTATGGGTTCATTCTCATTCCAACCAGCCAAGGGCCACTATCTATTCTGTCTATCATATCTTAAGAAATAGAGGTCCGGCCATGGTGGTGCACACCTTTAATCCCAGCACTGGTAAGGCAGAGGCAGGCAGATCTCAGACTTTGAGGTTAACTTTGTCTAACTAGTGAGTGAGTTCTAGGAAAGCCAGGGCATATCATGAGAACTTGTCCTTTAAAAACCGGACGAGACATTTGTGTGACAGAGTGCAGTCACTGTTCTTTGGGCCACCCCTTTCTTCAAACTATCCCGTGTGCCTGTCACAGGATGGGCGCAGGAAATCACATGTAACGATGGACAGTCTCAAACCCCAGCTTCTGCACACCTGGGCTATGGCGAGCAAGCATCTTGGAACCATGCAGGCACATGAGCTCTGCTGCCTGCTCCAGGGCGGATGTCACTGTGGTTAACATTGAGAAGCCACCAGCTTCTGTACAAAATATTATTGGGGTCACAGAAGCTCTTTGGTGGGTTTGACATGCTGCTTTGGCAATTCCCCTCACCTCCCATGGTGCCCTGTGCAAAGGGAGATGCACCCTCGTGGCTCACAGTTTTCTTAGCTTCGAGCCATAGCTCACTTCTGGGAGGCTGAAGTGGAACAATTTCCATCGCGAACCAGCCCATCATCCTTCTGAAGATCCACATAACTGAAGGTTCACTGTGGCCCTCATCTGTAAACACTTCAGTGTCTTTCCATCCGCTCTCATATTCTTCTGGGGATACCCTTTGGCCAGCAGGGTTCTGTGAACATCTTCCTGTAGGAAGTGCTGTGACCAAGTGCAACAGAAAACTGCCATCTAAAACAAGATCTGTAGAGAGGGTGAAGAGAAGCACTGTGTCTGCCCAGCCAGATGCAAACACACCCACACACACCGTATGCACACATATATAGACACATACACTATGTGTGTATACACATACACACATGCATACACACACATATATATATACTCCTTCCTTTTTCCATCTCAACCTCCGGTCCTGGGGGGGGCACGGGGATGGGGAGGGGGCAGCATAAGAGACATTACTGAGAGCGGAAGTGGAGGAGCAGAAGGATCTAGAGTTCAAGGCCGTCCTTTGCTACAAAGTGAGTGTGAGGCCAGCTTGAACTACCCAAGACGCTGTCTAAAACAAAAAGAAAAAAGATCGGGCACTCTTCCCTTGTCTCCCTGTCACTCTCGTTTTTATGATTTTAAGATCTGATCTTTCTCCTTCCTCTTATCTGCCGTTCTTGGAATAGAACAAGCCCCCAAAGGATGCTTTCCAAGTGTTTTCTCTTCCCCCAGCCTTAGGTCTCAGCAGCACCCCAGCTGCTCTGCAAGGCTCCAGACTCTGAGCTCCCTCCCCCCTGGGAGGTGACAACCACGAAAAGGGGCTAACAGTCTTTTCAGCCAGTGGGGGCTTCGGGTGACATCATATCCTCAAATGTGAAATGAGCTCTGCAGCCAGCAGCCAGCTAAGGGCCGGCTTCCTCACACACCACACCCGCCCTGTTCCCGGGCTCCTCCCCCTGCAGCCCGAGCTTGACCTAAGCGGCTGCTGGTAGGAGCACACCATGGCCTCGCGGGTGACCTGCTTTCTGTCACTGACCCTGCTGCTGGGTGAGTTGATGATCCCGGGGAGGGCAGGGGCTGGAGTGCATCGCGGGTGTGGGGACCCTAGGCTCAGCCTCCTTACCTGGTACCTGCAGATGTTGTTCCTGAGCATCAAGGTTTGGAACAGTTCCAGATGTTGCCTAAGAAGGTGGTCGCCCAACCTGGCAAGGAGGTGACGCTGTCATGTGAAGTACTGTTGCCCATATCGCAAGGATGTTCTTGGCTTTTCCAGAAGGAGGGCTCTGGAGTTAAACCCACCTTCCTCTTCTATCTCTCTTCGACCCGGAAAGTGGGCAACAAGAACCTACCTTCATTTGCCATCTCTGCCAACAAGAATGGCAACAAGTACACCCTCACCCTGAGTACTTTCACCAAGGAAAATGAAGGCTACTATTTCTGCTCTGTCACAGGAAACTCGGTGGTGTACTTCAGCCCTCTCGTCCCAGTCTTTCTGCCAGGTTTGGGCACGGAGGTCCCTTCCCGGGGTGTTAGGCCTCACGTCCGAACACAGACATACCCTCCTCTTATCTCTTGGGGCCCCTTGGGGGCTACTTGCACACCATCCCCATTTCACAGACCAGAAAACTGAGGCTAAGGTACCAGGTGAGATTGGAGGAGACTCTTAACGCCCGGGATCTGGGATGGAGTTTGAATGTGTGTATTGCCCTGTCCTGGTTGGCTTGGGAGTGGAGTCAGGTATTGATTCCAGGGCCGCATCTGCTGTGCTAAGGGATCGGGGCCAGACGCACTAGGCCCAAAGGCACACCTGGCTCCACATGTGCCAGCAGCAGTGGAGTGGCCCAGCACTTGTCAGGACTTCTTCCTCTCTAAAAAAAAAAAAAAAAAAGCCAGGAGGAGGCGCCTTCTGGGTAAAAGCTGAGCGGTAGGAAGTTAGGGCACCGGGCCATCCACCACCCCAGCCTGACCTGCAGGCATCCTGTTGTTCTTGCAGAGAAGCCCACCACGCCAGTGCCGCAAACCCCTACACCAGTACCCACTACTGGGTCATCCCGGCCCCTGCGACCAGAAACTTGCAGGCCCGCAGCGGGCACCTCAGGTTAGGTGCTCTCATGGTCCATGATTAGGGTGGGCAGACAACCTGGGAGGCTACTTGCCAAGGAAAGTCCTAATTTGGAGGGGGACCTGGATGGGTAGAGGTGCTGTGGGTGGGGATGGGAGACTGCCGCGGAGGGTTTCTAAATGCCATCCACTCGGATCTTATCAGTGGAGAAGAAAGGATTGGATTTCGACTGTAACATCTTCATCTGGGCACCCTTAGCCGGAATCTGCGGGGTCCTTCTGCTGTCCCTGGTCATCACTATCATTTGCTACCACAGTAAGTCCTGGGGAGTCCCGCGGGGAGGAGTCTACCCCACTCGTGTGCTTTGTGCTCGCCCCAGATAGCTCTTATGGGAGATGTAGTTCAGGCTCAGGGGTCCAGCTGCCCTGTAGGACTGTGCAGCTTTCCTGAAGGCAGGAGGCTGCTCCTGCCCACCTTCTGGGAACTTTTTGGACCATAGAGCCCTATTCCAGAACCACCAGAAACAGCTAAGCCAGCCAGGGTAAAGTAAACCCACCAGGGAGGAAGCTAATGAGGCCCTGAAACCTGGCCCCAAGAAAGCTGGGTCAAAACCATGGCTGCCTTGAGATTTGCCCTTGATCCCCACCCCACAAACCATTCATCCCTCTGAGTCCTATACAGGTGACTATGACAGCCATGTCTACAGATTCCCGGATTTAGTCATACTTACAATGCCATCATTGTGTGCCCCCCCACTCCCTCCGTCTGGAAGACAGGGTTTTGTGTTGTCTAGGCTAGCCTAAAACTAGTTATGTAGCCTAGGATAATCCCATACTTCTGATCGGATCCTTCAGCCTCCTTCAATCACGAGTGCTGGGACCACAATCATAGGCCGCCAAACCAAGTTTAAAATGCTTTCTTTTTAACTGAAGCTTGAGAAGCAGCAAAGTAGTGTCCAGAGTTATTTATGAGCCTCGAAAGACTGGAGTACATAGAGCTATTGAAATGGTGTCTGCAGACTGGGAATTCAGCTCTCCCTTCTTCCTTGTCTAGGGAACCGAAGACGTGTTTGCAAATGTCCCAGGTGAGTCAGTCTCTGAACTCTGGGCCTGATCACTCAGGGCAATCATGGTCCCAGTGGCCCTGGCTGCCCAATGGCAGGTGGTTTGGGGATCTTACCCAGAGAGAGGTCATGGCAGTGAACTCTGAACTCTGCTAGTCCCTGAACAAGGAGCAGAAGGCTGGTAAGGTATTGGAATTCATTCCTGAGAAAAGATAGGACCACAAAGGGCTTCGTGGGAGAGAATGTGACTTCCTGACAATCCTGTTCCATCTAGCTCACCTCCTCTACCACCACCATCAAAATAATATTATTTTCCCCTACAACTCCACATAGCTCCAGGAGTATATGGGGTCCTGCTCTTGTTCTAGATGATTCCATGTGGGTGTTTTGGACACCTCTCTATTTCCCCTGTTGATTGATCTATTTTTTTTATGAGAAAGCCAAATTTAATTACTGAAACATAATAAACAATGACCCCAGTTCCCAGTTTTCCCACAAGAGCACAGGGTCTTGAGTTCTTGTCATGGCCTAGGGATGAAAGGACCAGAAGCAAAGGCTCAAATATCTGACCCACCCAGTTCCAGCTCAGCCACTCTGTAATGATCAGAAAACTAACTACAGCACCTAAGAGAGGTCTCAGTTTCCACTCTGCTTTGCTCTTATGTTAGGACAGCTCCATGGGTGGCATCCAACTGCACCCTGCACCCGAGGGGGTGGCATCTAACTGACCTTGCTTTTTAACAAGTGTTGTCCCAGCTTGGCACAGGGCAAAGGGGTTCCACTCAGAATCTGTCTGAATCTACATAGCAGCCACGCTATGTAGATTCATCTTGCAGATATCTCGTAGATATCATCACCCCCCAACTTTCAGACCACAGCTGCAAGATCAGGAAACCCATGTGAAGAGACAGGATCACAGTCAGATTATCAAAACCAGACCTCCTAGAGCAAGCCTTTAGTGTGCCAGTTGCCTGCCTTAAGTCATCAGCCCTTCATGCCCGATGTCCATGGGTCCCACGTTATTAGAAGGCATGCCTATCATGAACACATTTTTTTTTGTCATTTTTCCTAAACAATATGACCTGTACGGCAGGGGAATGTGTATAGACTACATATGCCTTTTTATATAAAGATTTGGCTATCCAAGGTGGGTACTCCAAACAGGGATAATATTGAAGTCCTCCTTGGATAAGAAGAACAACTGTATGTTTTGTATTTCTTTTCATTTCAGCTTTTGTAACAATCTTTAAAGTATTTATATACCCTCCATTTTACAGAGGAGAAAACTAAGGCTTAGAACATGTGGTGATTTGTCTCAGATCACACTGCCAACAAATATCAGCCTTGCAACTTCCATCTAAAACTCAGTTTGCCTTCCCTGTTCAACACGTTAGCTGGCGCTGAGTGCTAAGTATAACTCCCTGCCACGGACTGATCCAGACAGGGGTCTCCTCCGTGGGAGAACAAGGGCTCCAGCCATCAGGTCAGTAAGGGTTCAGTGAGTGACAGACAGAGACAACGCACAGAGATGCAGTTGGAATCTGCTGTAAGTTTACTTCAGTGAGAGCATCAGATATATATACATGGTTTAGGAACTAGGATTTGACCCCATGCCAGGTTATACATAGTCACATTTGATGAGTGGTTACGTTGACAATTTATCTTGAAACTAAAAGAACAGAGGAGGAAGTACCCTCTGACCTTCAGTGGTTGAGAGTCTCAGACCTAAGATCAATTTTATTCTCAGAATTCTGCCGAGCTGACTCCTATGTAAAAATGCAGAAGTTGGCAAAGCTTAATATATTTATGGCCAGTTAGGCCAATTTGGCTGTTTTTTTTTTTTTTTAAGTCCCCTTATCCAACTTTTGAGGGAGGTGAACATAGACTTTTTGCAATTGCCTTGTTAAACTAATTTGAGCCCTTTTGTCAATAAGCACTAAGAAGGCCTTGCTCTAGTTAATCTCTCCATAAAGTTAAGTGTGTAATACACTCTCTCCATCTATATTTACCCATCTATTCCCCTGATCATCATATACCCCTGTATATGGAGGTATATATATACCCCTGTATCTGGCATAGGAGGGTTGTAGTCCTGAGTCTCTGTGGAGTTTCCCTGTTTACTAGAGGCGCCCACCATCGTCCTCTGAGTAGGTTACGTCTTCTACCATAAATCACAGGAGTAGGAATTCCTAGACTGTTCTTCCTAGCTCCTCGTGAACTCCCTGGGTCTTTTCCCTACTAGTCTCTGAACTTTTATCCTTTCCCTACCCACTATCCACCAAGCTTTGGCCAGGGCCGGTTGTATTAATTAAAGCCATAAAAATCAAGAAAGATAAGGTACAGAACCCAAATCCACAGAATTTGACCAGTGCACTGGAACAAAGCGTAGCGGCAGGCTGCCAGAGATGTCTGAGAGACGAAGTTCCGTGGAACGCATGCCTCTGGTCCGAAAACACGGTTTTCACCATGTCACACAGACCACTGGAGTTGGTGTGGCAATCCACTGTATACATTTCCTTCCACTAGGTGAAATAATTTCCTGCCTGGCTTTGCACTTTGTATTCTTCGTATCTCCCTATTGGGATCTGTGTTCAGCAGCTTAGCATCACTTTACACAAAGGCAATGTAACAGTGTGATTGTGTTGCACGTGGTATGCCAAGGACACAAAGACAAAAGCCCATGAAGGGTTCTCCCAGCGTGTACTTGATTGCTTCTGTAAGGCAGTCGCTTATTTTTACTTTTTCTAAACACTCTCATTTTGAAATGTAAAACAGAAAAGCCTGCCCTTGCCCTAAAACCCAGAGCTACCTACGCATGTTAGCTGCCTAGGAATTCACACAGCTGAGTTGCCGATAAAAGGCAGGGAGGTTACCTCGCACTAAAAGAACACTCGGGCGCCTCAACTCTTCTGCATCCTCCATGTTGGCCAGTGGGGATAAGAACCAGGTCACCTGGTGACTTAAAGCAATTGGCTTCAATATCTCGCCTTCCTGAGACTCCAGAAGGATAGAGGAAGCCTAACCGGGCACAGATCCTGCTTCAGCAGGTAGTTGTGTGACCTGAGACACCTCTAACCTCTCCTGAGCAGTACACAGCCCTATGTGGATGCTGTGAGGACTAAAGGAAAGGGTAGCTGAAGTCATTCCGCCATTCCTGCCGGCACCCTAGGGACAAGTTCTCAGAGCCATCAAAAACTGGTGGATAGACCAGGCTGGCCTTGAACTCAGAGATCTGCCTGCCTCTGCCGCTGGAGTGCTGGGATTAAAGGTATCCCCACCCAGGCTCATTAAAGAGGTTCTTGCTACAGTGATGGTCAGTCTCCTGCCTCTCTTTCAGGCCCCTGGTCAGACAAGGAGGCAAGCCCAGCCCTTCAGAGAAAGTTGTATAAGATGGCACCAAGAAGCCACACCTACTCCATGACTTCACAGACCTCTTCAAGCAAGAGATCAAGCGCTCCTTTTTCAGTAGTTCTCACCTTCCTATATATTGTTCTCTGTATTATTTTAGTGGGGGTGGGTGGGGTGGGAACAGTTTCTTTTCTTTATGGATCCACTTTAACACGAAACAAGACCGCACAATGTCTGTAGGGTACCACAAGGATGGCGCTCGGTTGTTGCATGCACTGATTGGGGCAGAGAGCAGACTGACACCAGAGCTCGATGAGTTCTCAGGGTTAGTGGGTGGTCAGCGCCCACCCGATGATCTAAATTCCCCATCTGCGCATCATACAGAGAGGTTGAAGGTCAGAGATGGGGATGGCAGGACCCGTGGGCCAGGGGAGAAGCCAAGCTGGAGGAACCCTCGCTGGCTGACGCAGGGAACTAGCTCCCTTCCACACCCTGAGCTCTCTAGTCAGGGCTATGTCTGTGTAACATGCAAGCTGTGGAGTGTCATGCCTGTGCCTCAAACCACAAGGGGGCGAGCAGTGTCACCTGTGATCTGCTCCGTGCTGGCCATGAGCACAGACAGGAGAAATGTCTTTCTGCACCTGCACATCAGAGCTCCTTGTAAGGAACTGGGAGACTGCAAAAGCAGTCAAGGGGAATAGGCAATCCTGCAAAACAGCTCCCCCTGGTGCTGAAGACTCCTCTGTGAGATTCCTTGCACAGCAGAGGGTGGGGTTTGACAAATATGATTTGAGAACCGGAGCAGCTGGACACAGGCGATGAGTTTGTGCGGTCACAGATGTGTTTATACTTTATACACACAGACTCCTTGGGGAGCACTCCTTAGCACCCCTGGAAGGCAGATGTGCAGATGAGGCAGGGTGAACTTGCGGGAAGAAGCTGAGTGTCAAGACTGCTACCCCAGTGTGGATTCCCTCTCACAGTCTCACAAGCAACAGATGCTATCGAATAGAAAACCTGAAGGAATTAAGTAAGGGTCACCCATGATCTGATGGCTTCCTTGCATATATATGCAAGAAAGACATACACCTTGGGTTTTAAAGTGGGATTATATCACACTTTTTGTAAGTGGCTTTAGTAAATAAACATTTATAATATCATTTCATATTTTGGATGTGCCCCATTTACTACTTAACATTAAATTGTGTCAAACGTCCTCGTACTTTTACACTACTATGCACACATCTTCGGGGTTTGTTTGTTTTTGTTGTTCAAGAAAGGGTCTCATGTACCAACTAGACTTGGAATCCCTATGGAGCCGGAGATGACCTGGAATGTCTGCCCCTTCTGCCACCACTTCCTGAGTGCTAGGAGCCCAGGTGTGTACAACCATGTCCTGTGCATGTGGTGTAGCATGAAAAATAAAAACCCAGTGACAGATACTGGGGTTCAAGCTTCAAGCTGAAGATCGGAGAAGCAAAGCAGCCGGGCGCTTGCTCTCACCTCTACCTCAGGCTGAAAGGGCTGTCCTGTCCTCAGCATAGTTGGAGAAATCTTCCCGCCAGACTGCAATCCTGTCTCCACCAAGCTTCAGACTGCCATCCCAGACCGCTGCCTCTTCCGTTTACACCTCTCAAGTCCTGAGATTAAAGGTGTGTGATTCTCAAGTGCTGAGCTCACCTTTGTGTGAGCTGTTTCTCTTTAGGACTGGATCAATTTCATGTAGTTCAGTGTGGCCTTGAACTAACAGAGACCCATATGCTTGTCTCTCGAGTCCTGAGATTAAAGGCGTGTGCCACCACTGCTCTGCTCTATGGCTTGTGGCTGGCTTTGCTTTCTGTACCCACAGGCAAGCTTTAATAAATCATAAATAATATACCACCATGATGTGATGCTGGGGATCTGAGCCATGCAGGCATCCTACCTACCAGCTGAGCCCCCTCCCCAGCCCTGACATGCCTGAAAGTAAAACTGTCAGGTCCCTTCTTCATTCTGCACCATTATCACATCTGTCAAAGCAGATTGATTGACGTTTCTGTGGCCTTCTTTCTATTTTTTCTTGGTGACAGATGAGTGGACAATTCTCCCACAATCAGTCACAGCACCCTCACTTTCTTGTTGAGATAAAATATACACATTGGGGTGGCGGGCATACAAGTCCTGAGTGTCCGTCACAGAGTGAGAAGAATACCCACATGTCCAGAAGCATCACCAGCCACCACACCAGCCTGTCTCCTCCTACCACCCCCCATAAGGATTGAACCTAGGGTCTCACACAATAACTACACGTTCTATCACTGAACCATGTTGTCCAGGTCAACCCCAAACCCCAAAGTCCAAGTGGTTCTGTTTGAATGTCTTCCCACCGCTGGTCCCCAATAGTTGCCTTCCTACTTCCTTTTGAAACAATAACGCCTCTTATGATACCCTGTGAGCTGGAGATGGCACTCCACTCTGCCTGCGGCAGCAACCCAAATTCTTTCTTTCAAAGGCTTCCACTCAGGCAAAGCTGGCATACCCTCTTTAAAAACTGTTTTTACTAGGCCAGGAGGCAGAGGCAGGCAGAGCCTTGAGTCCAAGGACAGCCTGGTCTACAAAGTGAGTTCCACTGCAGCCAGGGCTACACAGAGAAACCCTGTTTGGAAAACAAACCAACCAACCAATTTTGGTACATCCACCCACCCACCCACCCATCCACCCATCCATCCATCCATCCATCCATCTTCTCCAGCTATCATCCATCTTCTATCCATCTATCATCCATCTATCCATCTATCATCTCTGTGTGTGTGTGTGTGTGTGTGTGCAAACGCACGGGCGCGCACGCGCAACGTGTCATTGTCATTGTGTTAGTCAGAGCACGCCTGAAAGGATTTGGGGAGTTGGTTCTCCTCTTCCACCTCCTGTGGCCCATGGACTGAAATCAGGTTGTCCTGTGTGGCAGCAAGTGCCTTTACTTGCTGAGCCATCTCAACTAGTGGTGAAGCTGGTGTTTCTGACTTCACTGCAGAAAAGAATGTCAAGACCGGTTAATATGGAGCATAGTTGGTGTTTATTAGGAAGAGATTCTAATACAGATGAAGCTCAAGGGGTTAGTGGGAAGAGATATGCTTGGAGGAAGGAAATGTGCATCATGTATAGGTATGGGCTTCTCCAGATTCACACCTTAGCATCTCAGAGGCTCTAGGTAGGATCTGGAGGCTCAAAGAATTTTAAGGATGTCTTTTTCTTTTTCATTAAATAAGTGTGTGTGTGTGTGTGTGTGTGTGTGTGTGTGTGTGTGTGTGTTTTCCTTCCTTGGACATTTTCTCTTCAACTTTCAGATTGGATGCTGTGGCCCCATAGTCTTACAGGGAGCAGCGCTATTGGGAGGTATGGCCCTGTTGGAATAGGCGTGGCCCTGTTGGAGGAATTTCGTCACCAGGGGTGGCTTTGAGGTCTCAGAAGTTCAAGCCAGGCCTAGTGTGTCTCACTGTTCTCCTGCTGCCCAAGGATCTCAGCTCCTCTCCAGCACCATGTCTGCCTGTACACCATCATTCCTCCTGCCATGATGATAAAGGTCTGAACCTCTGAACTGTAAGCCAGCTCCAATTAGATGTTTCTTTGCTGGGTGGTGGTGGTGCATTCCTTTAACCCCAGCATTTGAGAGGCAGAGGCAGGCGGATCTCTGTGAGTTCGAGGTCAGCAGCCTGGTTTACAGGGTGAATTCCAAAGCTTCAGAGAAACAAAGTCTTGGGGGAAAAAATGTTTTAAGAATTGTTGTCATGGTGTCTCTTCACATCAATAGAAATCCTAAGTCAGAAGTTGAGGAGCAGAGGGGTTAAACTTGGAAGACTCTGGAAAGATAACACTGATATAAAGCCTTTTGTTAGGAACAGACCAAAGACAGAAGGGGAGAATTCAATCTGGGCTCTGTTTAAATTACTCCAGGAAGGGTCTTTTTTTCCTCTACTGTGATGCCAGTACAGTGGACACCGATGTGGGTGCTGGGAACTGAACTCGGGTCCTCTGGAAGAACATCAAGTGCTCTTAACCACAGCCATCCATCTCTCCAGTGCCCGGGGTCTCCCCACTTTTATCCCTTCCCAAGGTAAACGGTAAACCCTCCTAGTGGACACACTTCTGCCTCCCCAGGCAGAGCCCTCCACCCACTTATAAGAGCTTGTTCTAAGAAGTGGGGTGCCAGGCTCAACTATAACGTCTGGATGACGAGTTCCAAACGAGGAGGGACCTACATGGTCTCCCAGACACTGCTATCAGACTCAGGCCCCAAAGCACAGCCCATAGGAAACTAAACCCTGAGAGATGAGTGTTGGGCACAAAGGCTTTGTTCAATGGCCACAGAATGAAAAGGAGGGAGCTTTGCTCAGAACTTAGCTTCCACACCCCTGGAGCGTATGGGAGTCGCAGATAAAGGGAGATAAAGGCCTAACCAAGGGGATGGACATTCATGTTTCTTCAGCAAGGAGGGGGTAGATCTTTGAGGAATTAAACTGTCACTTTTTAATGTGCTCTGCCTTTATGTAAATATGTGCACCACATGTATGCCTGGCACCAAAAGAAGTCAGAAGAGGGCAGGAAGTCCCCGGGAACTAGAGAAGCGGGTGGTTCGGAGCCATCGTGTGGGTGTTTCTCTAAGAGCATTTCTCCAGGCTGTCACTTTTTCACTGCTGTAAAGGCCTGTGTTGCACCGTGGTGACTGGTAGGTGTCGTCAGCCTTCGGTGGGAGTTGGCAGGGGAGAAAGCAGGCAAGTCTAGTGAGTCAATCCAGTATTGTGACAGTACCCGTCATTCCTCAAATGACCCAACTCAAAGGTTAATACAACAAAAAGGAAATAGATATGTGGTTATTTATTTTGTTTGTGATCTAACAAAGCTTGCCTGAAGGTCAGGGTGCAGAGCTAGTCACAGTAGTTAGCCACACACATCAGGCAGTGGTGGCACACACCTTTAATCCCAGCACTCAGGGAGGCACAGCTGGGTAATATGGCTGGCCAGAGAGAGCACTATATGGCGGGAGGAGACGAGAAGACAGGAGCTCATGGCATTCAGTCTCAGGACTCACAGGAACAGGATCACCCCTTTGTCTGCGGATTCAATAGAGGTAAAAGATCTCTCTTGAGGCTGGCTCCTTCTCTGACCTTTCAGCATCTACCCCGTTATCTGGCTCCAGGTTTTCATTATTAAGATATATTAGAACTCAGGCTACATAGATGCAACATGAAAGGGGATTATCAAGCATTTTCCTCTCCAGTCACCATCAGATACCTACAGGTCCACGTAGTTTTTTTGGCAGTCACACCCTTCACCTAAAAGTAGCCTTGGCAACTGCTCTCATAAAGTGGCAAAGGTCATACAGAGTTGGAAGTTGCCAATATATTGCCTAGACATGTACCACCACCCCAATTAGCAACGTTTAAGTCAACTAAAAAGTAGACTTTATTTAGGGCTTTTCCCTCAATGATCCTGTACTGTTGAGTTCTGTCAAAGTGAAGAGCAAACCTCAAGGGAGGAATTGCCTCCAGCAGACTGGCTGATAGGCGAGCTACTTGTGGTCATGGTTTTGTAGGACAACAGAAAAACAAGCTAAGGCAAACACCGAGGAAAAACAACATGGCGGCATGACTCCGCCCTGAGACCGTCCAACACGCAGGTTGCCTCTAGGGGCTCTTTCAAGCCATTTCACGAGATTTTCCCTTGGTAACAATCTCAATCTCTTCAAAAGCTAGAAAAAGGGACACAAGTAAATCTTGTTCTCTGACGGCCTTCGCTTCTTGCTGAGGCTAGACAATTGAGCCTCTCTTCTTACCCAGCAGGGCCGAGGTACCCCCCTCCCCCAGCAACCTGGGAACAGTCTGCTCTGCTCAAGCTCTAGCCCACTCCTGGTGGTGAGACCTGACAAGGACACTCTCTGTCCTACACATGCACACAGACACAGCTGACGGCGGGAGCTTTCTTCTCTCACAAGCAGCGGAACCGCCGCGCCACACCCCACCCGGCCTGGTCACCTGGAAAATTCACAGACTGGTTCCACAAAACACTGTTTAAATGTGCAATTCTTTAATCTTAAAAATATACACGGGAGAAGCCATGTGTTTTACATAGGAATACACACATTAACAAAGCATTTCTTATAGTTTTCCAAACTCTATTATATCAGTCCGAAATTTATAAATTAAATATATCAGAATTTTTAAGTTAAATGAAATCCCTGAAACTACTGGATATGTTAGACTTTTTTTCCCCAAAAAATCAAATGAGCAGAGAGCATCAGTATGATTTAAGTAAGGTTTATTGTTACCTTTATTGCCTATAATCTAGAAGATGCAATTTTATTGTGCCTTTGCAAACAGGATACATCTCTTAAAAAAACTGATCAAAAATTTCCATACATATAGCTCTATATGATAGATTACAGTGCAACACTATTCATAATTATAGAAACACTATAGAACCCAGGAGCATGGGGTAAGCCAAAGAACAGAATCCTGAGCCATCTGAGCAAGATGAGCCGATGAAGTCTTAGTGTAGGTTAGAAAAGAAGGTGAAGAAATGCATGCACGCTGCAGTCGTGAGTGACAGGGCCAACAGTAGCTGCTTGCTAGCTTCAGGGTTGGGGGTGGGGTGATGGTGAATTTCCACACATGCACTCACACTCACACTCCTGTTTCCTCACACTTCCCCGCCATCCCAGGGCACTAAATCCTACAGAACCCCACACCTGCCTGCCTGCGAGTGGCTTAAGACTGTTACTAAGAAAGTGTTTAAGTATCCACCCACACCATGGAGCAAAACACGTGTACAATCGAGTCTAGCTGCTTTTTGCCTCTTTGGAAATAAATGAAGCATATGCCTGCTATAGCTTAAAAACATCTTAAAAAATTTCTCTTGCTACATCTTGAAGTAAAATCAACAGTGGAAATTTCATCCTAAAGCTACCTGCCTCGTCCGCTACTAAAATACATTTGCCACTCTGTTTTTGGTATCTACTCAATTATAATTCAGTATGAAAAGTTCATGAAGCTTGTACCTGCTTATGGTGAACACGACAGTACCACACACAACCTGTCGGCTGCAGGCTAACAAAACACCGAGCTTTTATGTGGTCCTTGCTACGTGTTCCCTCTGTGTGTTCCCCAAGACCACGGTATTCTATTGTTACCAAGGGTAATGTACAGACAGTTCAATGGTGAAACGTATTTGGCTTGTCGTCACCATACACATCCTAGAGATGAACTGAACATTCCACATCTCCACACCTTCCCTGAAGATAACCTGAGTCGGCTGACTAACAGACTGACAGCCTATGAGAGGCTGGGCTGGGAAACCAGAGGGCTTGTGTCATGTACCAGCAGCTTGAATCGTGCAGATAAACCAAGAGCTCTTGGCTTTTGATATGCACTGTCCCAAAGACTGGCACCACCGAGGCGGAGAGAACACACGGCGTAAGAACATGGAGTGTGAGCCGCACAGCCTATGGGACTGGCTCCCTGGAGAGGATGATTGGGGGACCCTCATCCCCACATGATTTGGTGTGGGTTTAATGTCTCCTTACACATTAGCTGCTGTGGAAAAAGTACAACGAAAACTTGACTTCCTAACTTTCTTATTGTCAATTAAAAGTTCACACACTCACAAAATACATACTCTATGAATATGAGGTGGCTCTTCAATTTTTTTTTAAAAATAAAAGAGGCACCAATACCCGTTCATTTATGTATTAAAAGTCTAATTGTATAATCATCAATAAAACAGAAATGCATCTGTGATGATCACACAAAGGAGAAAAAGGTCAACGACAACCTTAGCCACTGTGGAGAGGCTCTGGCTACACTAGAATCTAAAGATTTGCTAGTAAGGTTTTATTGATTTAGCAGAGTCCCATGACAGCCTTTGTCCCTACCTAGAAAGCAAATGGCTCTCAAAGCAGCCATTCTGCAGCTGTTTCCAATGCCTGTTATCCACGTGACTGACCACCTTTGCCTCTAGCATCACCTTGTCTGATTCGGGGCTGAAGGAGACAGATGGCACCCTCCTGCAAGCGATGCCGCGCTTTCCCACCACTGTGGAGCACGTTCTAGAGTACAAGGATCCTATGTTGTACTTCAGCATCTTTGGTCAAGGTCTGGCGCCCTCAAACCCACCCCTGCTGCAGTCAGTCTCTCATATACAGCTAAAGAAAACCTCCACACCTAATTTCCACAGTAAATTGTCAGATCAAGTTTCTGGTTTTGGCCCTTGCCCTCCCTGCCCACTGCAACTATAAGACTTTACAGGGGCAGCTGTAAGGTCAAATACTTGCTAAAACTCATTCTTTTTAAAGTTTCATGAGCTTCACAAGATACTGCCAATGTGACTCCCAGCACCAGGAGGAACAGGCAGAGCCTCTCTCCTTACGATGGCCTGAGCCCATTGTGTGAAGTGTCTAGCTCCCAAAAGATTTGCCACCAGCCTCAAGAACATGTCTGTACCACACAAATTTTATGCAAAGTCTAAATGTCATGTAGATGTCTGAAGTTGGAAGGTAAGAATAAGTTATGGGGGAAAACCCTAAAATCTAAATTTGGTTTAGGAATATCAAAGTTATTAAAAAAAAAAAAATAAGCCTGACACTCTAGAATTTACTTCAAAGGAAAGATTATCTATAGTAAACGAGTTTACACCCTCCACAGGGTACTGCCTGGCACTGGTCTGTTCTTTCACTGCTTCGTGGGGCACAGAGGACTTCCCACGGCAACCCAACACTGAAGCACAGGCCCCATGAGGCAGGCTGAGTTTCAACAAAGCACGCACTCTGAGCTGGGCCAATCACGATCCTGGCTAACCTACGTGGCAAACGGTAGCCATCAACATGAAACTGACCACTCTCTCATGTCACAGGGCTTTTCTGCAGTATTATTCTCTCCCTTCACAGGCAAATGCCAGCTTTCCCAGGTAAACATCTCAGAAAAGGCCATGCAGGCTGGTACACACTGTGAACGCCAGCAATTTCTAATTAACGTAGCACCAAAGCTGTTATCCCCATTCCTTTAAACCAAGTCCATCTGTAGTTTAAAACTGGAAGAGTCACTTTTCTCTTTGCTTCTGTGTTTACAACTTTTTTTTTCATTTTCTCGTGAAAATATTCCTATGTTGACGTTCAGATCTATGTCATATGAAATATAGTTGTGAACTACTTGGTGATTTCCACACAGCACTCTTCTCAAGATGAAGTATTTCATGGGTTTAAGTCAGAATTATGTCCACAGAAGTCTTTTCCATGCAGTTCTTCATTCAGAGAATAACTCTTACACATGGCTCTTTCTGGGCAGTGCATTAAATGATGATACCTCACAAAAGAAAAGATCATTATCTGTAGCCATCTGATTAATATACAGGTTCACAGTCAACTCAATAAGACACTCTGCAGAAGAGAGGCATGAACAATATACTAACTCAACACACACCAGCAGTAATAGTGGTCCACGGTACACAACGTTACTAGCGTCTACCCTTAAGGACCGGAAGTGATGAGTCTGGCAACGTGCTTCTTCCCTCCCACATACACACGTTTGATGCTGGTGTGCGTATTTACATACACATGCACAACACCGTGTGTCATGATGACAAACTAATGTGATACCCAGCCAAGTCTTGGAGGCAGATTTCAAAGGACAGGGTGCTAAGACCGAGAGAGCATATACAGTAACACCCTAACTTCAGAATTCCATTTATTAAATACACTTTTAAAAAGCACCTCTTGGTAATAAAAGCAAAGAACCAGTAATATTTCTTTCATTTTCACATCAGCCTGTTAAATTCATGATGGGATTTTAAACAGGAAGCCTGCTTAGGGCTATAGACTATTCAGATGCAGGCAGGCTGACTTTGAAGCAAGAGCTGGAGCAGAGAAAAACATCAAAAAGCAACACAAATTTGAAATTTATCACAGCTTTCTTCCTTAAGCCAAAAAGAAAAACAAAACAAAAAAGCAAATTTGTTGTATAACCACAATTCAATCTGTCAAGCTACTATGAAGAATTTTCATTTAACTATGTATACATAACAAGAAAGTAAGTTGTTCCACAAACACACTCAAGCTTACAATTATCAAGAAAATGGCAGAAGTAAACGTGGGAAGAATATCAAACACATGTCAGGAAGGTCAACTTCTGTTTCTGCTTTTAAGTAAAAAAAAGAAAAGAAAAAAAATCACCATAGAGTAAGTACAAAAACCTGCACTGAATGACAACTGCTGGTGTATTTACTTGATCAGAAACGAAGACCAAGAGTGAAAAGCCCTATGTAACACCCATCTGGAGCTCTCCCTCGTGCACACTCGTGTGTCAGCAGCTTCTGGAACACAGCTTATAAACCCGGCAGTCCTTGGATAGCTGCAGTCAATGGATCGCTCTTGTCTCGAATGTACCCATAATTCAGTTTCACTTACAAATTGCAAACAAACTCATTTCTTCAGAAAAATATCTGTTTGGCATCTCCTGGACTCTGTTCCATTGGGCAATATGGACATTTTAATCTAAACACAAGACAGAAAGAATGAATCAGACAACGTCAGCACTGAGCACTCATTCCATCCCTACCGGGGCACATGTCTACAGGTGCAAGAGCACAGCGCTATGCTTACTCTGCCTGGAGGACCAGCTACGCTCTCTAACTGCTAGCCAGGCTATGGAGGTCACAGAAAACAACACCCCCAGTCACATCTTCACCCAAAAGCCGCTTCAATATTTAGTAACTGGTGACAATTGTTTTTCAGTAAAACAAAGACAATTTTCTGAAAACTGATCTTGAATTTCATTAGTAAATCTGATCTTAGCCCACCAAGGTTTACATTGTACCTTTCCCTAAATGAAAATTCATCTACTCAAGAACAGAAAATCTGTTGTGAACTGCCAAGCCTGCCCCACGAGCAGCCCACACACCCCTCCGTGACAAGAACACTGGCTCCAGTGAACCAGGTCACCGTGACCTGCACTGCCAGGGTTTCGGTGTGGTATGGGAAAGGGTAGACAGTCTCTTTCAATCAAGAGACCTCCCAGGAAAGGGTTTTCCACAATGGGGCCAGAGCCAACACCAGTGAAGACTCCCCTAACTGCCTGAGCTAGATTACCTGAGACTTTTTTTTAAAGGTGGGTTCATTAACTACACAAATTACCACTGTCTATGCACTTTGAACCATGATTACAAAAGTAGGAATTTATCACATGTGGATAACACATGCTGGCACTGTATTCATCAACAGGAAACTGACTAAATAATAGTATCTCCACTCTACAGAGTAGTCCATATGGGGGCGGGGGTGTGAAGGCAGGAAGCAGGTTGAAACAATTTCATATAGTTCACCACAGCCCCTCCAACTTGCTATGTAACTGAGGGTGATCTTGAACTCCAGGTCCTCCTGCCAGAATTATAAGCATGCACAACCATGCCATGCTATTCTGGTAACTGTACCAACAATAACACAGGGCTCTTTTGCAGCATAAACTCCTCAACTGAGGAAAGCAAATCACAGAAGGGAGAGGGTATATACACTTAAAAGCTTAAAAGCTTGGAGGGAGGGGATGCCCACCCAAAGAATTAAACTACATTTATAAATCTAATTACCAAATCCTTGAGCAGATTAAACTAACAAAAGAGGTTAGATGTTATCCACTTTTGACAAATAGTTAAGAAACTACTTTCTAAATCTAGTTATGGGCTGAGCACAGTGCTATACAACTTTAACGACAACACTTGGGAAGCAGGGACAGACAAATGTCTGAGTTTGACGCTGGCCTGATCTACAGATCAGCCAGGGCTACACAGAAAAACCTTGTCTCAAAGAATCAAGTAAGTAAAAGCATAATTCTAGTTTTATTCATTTATCCTTATTACATGTTATTGTTATACAAGACGGTTTATTTAACATTTAAGGAATCAAGACACTTACTTGCTACCATTAAACATTTTATTCAGGGCATCTCTTGATATAATATGACCACAAACCAATTTCATGGGTGGATTGTTATCTGTTGTTTGCTGACGAAGAATGGGGCAGGCAAATATAGAGTGGTACCAGCACTTCTTACCAAGGTCCACTTCGATCTGTTCAGAGAAGAAAAATGTAGAAAGGCTCGTGAAACCCTGAAAATTCTCCACACTCGTGAGAACATCTGTTTGGTTGATAGACTCTATAGGGGAACAGTCTCAAAGAAAGGGAAGTCTTAGGATTCAAAGTTGAGTTAAACTGGTCTGCAGAACTACACTACTATGTTGTAAACCAGATTTTGGGGTCTGAGGGAATCAAATACCATGTTTCAGAAGCTAATACCTTTTTTTTGGTGGTGCAGAGCAGCAAACTCATCGCTTAGACCACACTAAGCTACATCCCCAGCCTAAACACTTTGAACATTTATCAGAATTAATATATATATCAGTCAAAGGCAAACCACCACCAGACACCCTGACTGCCCTGTAGGCAACACTTGGTTAGGTGATGGGCACAGTCTAAATACAGTCCTCTCTGTGTGAACTTTAGGTCTGAGTTTTCCATGTCCTTTGTGTGAAGTGGTCCAGAGAAAGCCCGAAACAGGGAGGTACACCAAGTGTTGTCTTTCCCCCCTCCCTACCTTTTTTTTTTCTCCTTCCTTCCTTCCTTCCTTCCTTCCTTCCTTCCTTCCTTCCTTCCTTCCTTCCTTCCCTCCCAGTGGTGGGAATCCAATGTAGAGCTTTGCATGCAGCCAGGCAGCTTTAAGCTAGCACCTACCCTATCCCCCCCCCCTTTTTTTTTTCTATTAAGATAGAATCTCAGTAGTTGTCTAGGCAGGCCTTGAACTTGTGATGGCCCTGCTTCAGTCTTCCGAGTGCCTGGATATACAAGCTGGATATACACCAATACCTGCTTAAGCCAAATCTCAACAGGATCTTTTGTGATTTGTACTTTAAAGCTCATGGCATGGTATCATCATCATGTTTTTGTCACAAACGTATCTAATCATATAAAAGCTTGAAATGACACAGCAGAGCAGCTACTTCACCCCAGAACTCAGCACGTTGGTCCCTTCCTTCTCAATCTATTACAGCTATGGCTCTCCAAGGCCATTGCTGCCTGGTGGGGGGGGGGGGGGCACACACCTTTAATCCCAGCAGACACAGGGATTTGAGTGTGAGGCCAGCCTGATCTATTGTTCATGGAGTTCCATGCCAGCCAAGGATACACAGCAAGACACCCTCTCAAAAAATAAACAAAAATAAAACTGACCTATTAATAAGTTACTTAAGGAAAACTGACAAAGGGTAGGAGATGCAGTTTAGTATTCACAGGGATCTGAGTCCAAACTACACCACCATAAAAATGGTGGAAGAGACTTACAAACCCAGGAGGATCAGAGGAACCCTAAACCCGGCACATAGTAAGAGCATCTTTAAAGAAGGAAAAAAGAGGACAAAACCCAAAAGCACATCAAAGCAACCGAGAGGCAAGATTACCAGCCACCGCCTCCGTTGATCTCCTAGCCCAAGTGCACTGTCAGTTGGATCCTACTGACTGCTCTCCTTCAGTGTGCAATTTCAAAGATGCTCACAGTGTGCTCAGGAATGAAACTGCCAGAGCTGGGCGCCTGCTTACGGAACAGAGCCCTTTCATTTGCTCAGGCGGCAGCAGCAGAGTCCAGTGCTGCTTCTGTCCCGACCGCGTGGAGTACCGGGAGAGCACCTGAGTCTTAATCTCAAACCTTCAACAAGCCCTCAGGGTTGAGGACAGGCTTACAGCTGGAAGAACAAGGCAGCTGCAGACAAGATGTGTGCAGGTGGGCAAAAAAGAAGCCTACGTGCCAAACGCTCAAACTCCTCCAGGGTCTGGACATAACTGTGTCAGAAACGGTAACTGCAAATGAAAGCCTTAGTGTCTACTCTCAGGGTAATATATACAATAACTCTGTATATAATAACCCTCATGGCAGCCATAATGTGCCTGCCGCTTCTAGGCTCGGAGGCCGTAAAGACAAGGGGCCCCCTCTGTACAGATAAACAACTGCCCACAGTGAGCTCACTAGAAACCACTGTGTGCTAAGGAAGGCACAGCTCTCCCCGCTTTGGAGGTCTGCATCATTAGCTTGCATCCGAAACTTGAAGACAAAAATCTGGATACACACTTCTCCAGTGTTTCCAAATGGCACCACACCCCACATGTCTATTTTCTTGTCCTGTGGAGACAGAATCTCAATTATGAGGCCCTGGCTGTCTTGGAACTCACTATGTAGGCCAGGCTGGCCTCGAACTCAAAGATCTGCCGACCTCTGCTTCCTGAGTGCTGGGGAAGGTGTGCACCACCACTCTCTCGTGCCTATTTTAATTAGTTACTGATTTGTTTCCTTTTTAGAGTGGCGCTGTAATTCCCAACCTTATTTTTAACTCATGTTATGTGCATTAAAACAAATAAAAACAACCCCGTTGAATGGCCACAATAGTGTTTTCTGATTAAATGCCATGACTAGCACTTTTAACCCTTAAAATACCTATTTCTAATGGGGAGGGAAAACAAACTGTTATAGAACTCACAGGTAATTCGTCTTTCTGGTTCCAAACTCCAGTACACTGCCTCTGCTCAATCACAGCTTTGATGTTGATTAGTGCGGGCAGTGCCACACAACCTGCTGAGAAACTGAGGGGGACAGAGAAGCATCAGGGCCAGGCCAAGGGTGCCAACCGCAAAGCAGACCTGGCACCCGGTCCTCTCAAAGAGACCTGACCTGGTTTTCTCCCCGTCCTCCCGCTCCCAACCCTCAGCTATGTCTTCGGCAGTTACGACCCCTTTACAAACAAAACACAGGACCCTAATGCTGCTACATAAGCTTAGCCAGTATGGGAGAAATAGGAAAAGACAAACAGAGCAAACATTAAAAAGACAATTTTCTGAAAAGACGCCCTATCAGGAGGGAGGCAGCTCGGGCACTTGGTGCTGAAAGGGAGAAGCCATCTTTAGGAGAACCCATGGGTTCAAAGGAGGCTGAGGAAAGCAGCACTAAGAGCTCGTGTGCCTCCAACCAGGGTGGGTGGTCCTTCACATTCAAAGGGGAAGACTAAGGTTATGTGAACTAACCCTTCCAAAGTTTCTCCTCCAGTTTACAATGAAAAACACCTACAATCTCATCAGAAAAGCCTTTACAAGGCCATACCCAAAATTTCAAGGTTAGCCTAAATTTTATGTCAAAGATACATATATTTTGCATCACTTGCTTCCTTAGCTTCCTTCAATTACTTGGAAAATCGCTGTCAAACCCACAATGTAACTGTGGTTTTGGTTCTGTGGATTACATCACTTAATGTTAGAAAGTAAAATGAACTCATTTATTGAAAATCACAATAAACATACTACATTGGAGTGTTTGTTGAAAATTATTCCAAGTAAAAACCTGTAGCAGGCTCTCTTCTGGGCCAGCAATCAGCTCCCAAATCATGACATGGAGACTTATTATTAGTTATGAGTGCTCAGCCTCAGCTTATGCTTGCCCCGCTCCCTCTAGTAACTCACTTTTACGGCTTCTCTGTATTTACACTTCGCCGTGGGCTTTTTGCCATTCTTTCACTCTGTAGGTCCTATTCTTACTGCTTCCTGTGTCTGGCTGCCTGGCAGCTGCTGCCCAGCATCTCCCTCATCCTCCAGTCCCTCTCAGGCCCAGACTCCTCCTCCTATTTAGCTTCTGCCCAACTGCTTACTCCTCTACTGCCTAGCTATGGGCTGTTCAGCTTTTTATCATGTCAACCAGGTGCCTTAGGCATGCAAGGCAAAACAAATGTGATACATCTTTACCTGGTTAACTAATGCAGCATAAACAAATGTAACACACCTTTACATAGTTAAAGTAATATCCCACAACAAAAATGATATTCCGTAACAAGACAAATCATAACTCAATACACAGGTTCTTTGTCTCAAGCATCACCCTGGGGCATGAAACTAAGTTCTTTATGCAAATGCTCTATTGTGTCACCCAGAACACTAAAAAGACATAAACCCAAATGTCAGCTTAAAGCAAGTATTTACTGCCTACCCAAGGCGCTGCAAGCTCAACAAGCATTTCCTAGGCAGCCAGAATGGTAATGGGGAGCATGTCGAGTATCTGCAGAGGCTGGAGTCAGTCCCCCACAGCAAAGGCCTTCATCTGTGCACAGGTCAGCAGTGGAGGGGGGGGGGATTGGACTCCCCGGGTCCCAGACCACACTTGGAGAGCAGCTGTCTAAAACTGTCACTGTCAACTATGGCAAACACTTAAAGTACCCACTCTATACTTCTCCAGAAAGACAACACAATCTAGTGGCTTAATCATGAACAGCAACAAGAAAAGGCGCCCAATACAGTGCCCATTTCAGAGCAAATGGGGTCATTACTGCACCTGACACTGAGAGGTGACTCCACGGAGAGCCCCAGAAGGGCACACGCGTCCCGTGTAAAGATGTCACAGATGTCAGCCCACTGGTTTGCATCAAGCAGGTGAACATATGGTGAGTTCTCAATCCCTTGTCTCAGGTACACGAGGCTTCCCATCAACACCTGAATGTCTAAAAGAAAGCACCAGCAAATGCAGGTGTGCAGTCAGGTCTGAAGCAGCATTGACTTGTGAACAAAGGTGAGAAATCGAAGGACATCTCCATCCCATGAAAGATATCCTAAAAGAATGTAAACATTCCAGTCGCTAAGCTTCCCTGTGCGTCCCTCGCCCTAAACTGAGGACACCGCATGGAAGACAATGAGAAAGGTAAGCACTGAAATACTGAACTTGGAATTTCTCGTCTCTAAGTGTCACGTGTGTTTGGGGAAGAAGTGGCCACACTCACCACACAGCCATGTGGTGATGCAAGAGTGATGCAAGGGGCTTGCACACTTTGGTCTGGTCAGTGGCCTTTACAGTCAGGAATCCCTAGCTCTGAGTGTCTGCGGCTTCAATGCTGCCCTGTCTAGTGTCAGTGAGCAGTGTTTCTATGACCCGTTATCCCAACTGTATTCTTAGCAAATGTGTATGACAGACACATGTAGTGGCTCCTGCCTCCTTCCACACACTGAAATTCTAAAAAACCTCTGACTCAAGCCATGCTGGTGGTGCTCATCTGTATTCCCAGCATTCTGGAGGCTAGCACAGGAGGATCACACGTTTGAGACCAGCCTGGACTACACAAAGACACTGTCTCAATTCCCTGTACATCCCCTACCCTGCCCAGGCTCCCTCCCCAAAGTAAAAGGAAAACAGCTGTCTGACTCCAGACTCACCTTTTTGATGATTTAGGGCAAATGGCTGGAAATTTTTCGCATACTGTAAGGCTTCCCGCTGATTGGTAGTTCCACCCATTAACAAGCTAATAAAGTACAGTCGGTGTAGCTTAAATTCTAAGGAGCTGTTCTGGGCTATGAGCATTTCTCGGTTTGATACTGCCCACCTAAAGCAAGAGAGAAAGGTTTTAAGAGTAATCAAGGGCATGAGCAAAGGGTTTGAAAAACTGGCTGACATCTAGCATGTGAAAAGGGGGGCTGGTCTGCCATCTTGTGGGAAGCTGTAGTAACATCAACCATTAGAAGATGCAAACTAAAGGAAAACATACTAAGTTAGAGAACAATTACTTCTTTAATGAGGTTTTATAGGAAGAAGAGCCCTGGTATGAAGAGGGCCACACTCTGGAGTGTGAGTCTTGGGATTCACACATAGATTACTTAGAGCTATCCTTCTTCCTATTAAACCAGCCTATCTGCAAATGAATCAAAACTCTTCAGGGGAACCTCTTTTTAAATTAAATTCTCCCATTTATCTCTGCATTCATTCCTTGCTGGGGGGCACTCACATCCTGACCTTCATGTGGAGTCATGAAATCATGTCTTTCCTTCTTCCATGGTGAATAGAGGGCACTGAATCAGGTAAGGCTTGGTGCAAGTGCCTTTACCTCACTCAGAATTAAAAACTAGCTGTGGATACAGCTTAGTGAGACATGCCTGTTTAATGCATACTGTAGGGCCCTGGGTTAAGCCCCAGCATTACAACAACAACAAAACAAAAACATGCAAAACAAACAAAACCAGCAAACATATTTCTCAAGGTGCTTGCTGTCTTTTTAAGATTCATTTTTTCCTATGCATGTGTTTTGTCCTTGTGTATGTATGTGTATGCACGGTGTGCATGTCAGGTGCCCTTGAAGGCCAGAAGAGGGCACTGGATCTCCTGAAACAGGAGGCACAGACTGTTCTGATCTGCCATGTGGGTGCTGGAAAGTAAGCCCGGGTCTTCTGGAAAAGTAACCACTGCACCCCAGTACTTTCAGTCTCATTAGGAAGGAAAGAAAACAGCACATAATCACACTGTATGTACACGTCAAAAAGATTTGTATAGCTACAGGTCACTGACGGAAGAAAACAGCACATATACACACTGTATGTACACGTCACTGACGGAAGAAAACAGCACATACACACTGTATGTACACGTCACTGACGGAAAGAACAACACTCTGCTCTGGAACTCGGAGGTATCACGAGTGAGCAGACGACAGCGGCACAAGCAGGCACTGGCTCAGTGAACTAGGACTAAAAACAGAAATGTACCTCAGGTCGGCTGTCAAAACCACAGCTAACAAACGTGGTAAGAAGCTTTGTGTCCCTAAGGGTTCAACTCTAAAAGCTATTTTTTTTAGGATAATTGATGTTGACCCTAAACTCAAATATAAAGGTTTCATATAAAATAAAGACTTAACAATGTAATTTTATCTGTTTGTGTTTCAAGACAGAGTTTTCTGTGTACAGAGCTCAGGCTGGCCTAGAACTCACAGGCATCCACTTGCCTGTCAATGTAATGCTTGTGACTATACAACTTTTCTACAACAATCTCCCGCACTGACTCCATGCCCATGGAGCTCACATTAATCACCTTCTCTCAAAGCCACACAGCTTCTAAAAGCACGCTTCTTTTCTTCTTAGGAGGGTTTTTTAAGAAAGAAAACTGTTTGTCCTAAATCCACAAAACTAAAGTCAGATTCCAATGGTCTCAAATCTATCAAGGTAATATTCTTTCTGATGCTTTAGCAAAGCAACCAGCTGGCTTTAATGGAAACAGTTTCCAACCACTTAGCATTCCCTTCTCCAAAAGAAAAGTGGAGATGGCTTCTAACGCTGAAGGAGTTCAACCACTCAGCGCAGTCAGTCAGCAATTAATACAAGTTAGAGCACCTAAAACACAACTTGAAGAACAACCCACTACGTATCCTGAGCACTACAGAACTGGGAAGCTCAGCATACTTCTGTACCTGGGCTCCTTCTCACTTCTTCATCTTAGATGTTAACTTTGTAAATAAGGTTACAGATACTTAAACTTATCGCCTAGGTGTGTCACAATCTAAAACCAACCCAAAACCCCACAAAACAAGCCAAAAAATATCCTAGCACCTGGGATATCAAGAGTCAGAAAATTCACAAGTTCAAGGCCAGCCATGGCTATGAATAATAACACCCTCTCTAAAAACCAAACTAAAAATAGTCCTCATACACACTATACAAAGGTAAAACACACCTTACATAGACACACAGTGAGAAAAACTCAGTTCTAAACAGACCACTTACATTTTATTTTACATTTTTAATTTTTATACAGAAATCATAAAACACACACACATAAACACTGGATCTGTTCATCTGGGCTAGTTCTAGAAATAGGCAAATTTTTTAAAAACTGATCAAATATAGAAAACTATGCAGCAACCTCCATCTGAAACTCAAAAATATAGTCACCTGTTTTAATAATTAAGACACCACATGGATTATTATCATTATAATTATCAGCATCATCATCATCGTTGTTGTTGTTGTTATTGGTTTTTTTCAAGACAGGGTTTCTCTGTGTAGCTGTGAACCCTGTCCTGAAACTCACTCTGTAGACCAGGCTGGTCCCGAACTCACAGGGACCTCCTGCCTCTGCCTCCTGAGTGCTGGCACTAAAGGTGTACGATGCCACTGCCCAGCTCACCACATGGATTATTCCCAACCATTAATACTGATTTCAGATCTTCCAAGTTTGAAAATAGTAGGACTCTACTTGGATTAACTTGTTCTTTGAACTTCATTTTATGTTATTTATTATAAATATCCTGATAATCTTCACATTAACAATTTTAACATGGGACAAATGACTTTTTCTGCCTTTCTCAGCACCCTACCACAGACACATCTGTGCTCTGCTCCAGAGTATCACTTAGTTCTCATAACCAACCAAATCGCCTCTCAGAATGACAGCACAGCACCCAAGTAGATTGTGGAAGCTCAAATATCACATAGAAATTGTCTAAACAATGGTGCTTCAGTTATAATGCTGGTCTACTCAAAGTAGTGTTCCAGCATAGATAAGGAAACCCTTCTCTTCTGGGAACATGAGCCACTGTTAACTTAAGCAGGCTGCCCAGGTTCTCATATTATATAGTCCATATTTCACTTGGCTAAAAGAAACCCAAGTGTTCTTTCTTGAGTCCTGTGAAGCCTACCCTAGGTAAAACAAACCTATCTAAATATGCCTCGTGTGTTTTACAAATATTTTCTTACAGAGTTCCCCTCACAGGACCTAAAAGAAAGAATAACTTACTCAAGAGCAGGTCTCAGAACTCTGACTTTTAATGCTTCTAATATTCGATTCAACTCCACGAATGGCTCTTTCTGACTTGGGTCCACAGACAATCCAGATTCCTGGAAGGAAAAGAAAAATAGAAAAAAAAAAAAAAACAAAAAACTTGTTAGTATATTTTCAACAGAAAAGGCTGGTCTAGATTATAAAACACAGGGCTGTCAAAGCGAATTGCCTTTTAGCATCTACGTCTGCAGCAGAAGCTGCTCCATCACGACGCTTGTGTCAAATCTGAGCTGAGCACATGACAGCTGTATGTGGGTCTGCACACTCAGGCCAGTAAACTGTAAGCACACAGGCTCTCCTGGGATGCAGTGTGCAGCTGGAGGTCCCACCACAAGGGAGGAGGAAACACTGGAAAGTACAGAGCTACAAGGACTAATAACTTCATAGGATAGATGCCAGGAACTTCTCTTCCTACCCCTCTTTCCTGTACAGGAAAAGCAAACTTTTTGTGAAGCTGTTGTCTTAAGGTTGTTACTTGAAAACAAATAATCTTCAATGATATAATTTACTGTGAGATTTGTATGGACACTGACACCTCAAAAGGTACAAAGACTCAAGTACCATTTATTCCAACTGTTTCAAACAGAAAAGGTTTAGATTGTAGGCTAAAGATTCGCTTTAAATTATTTTATCTTCTGAGTTCTTCATTTTTAAACAAAAAATGCAACAGAATGGAGTTTGAGAAGATGAGTAAGGGACTGAATCCCCAGTTCCTCCACGAAAGCTCCTAGAATGGCCCTGGGCACTTGATTCTCCAAACCTCACACTTCTCATGTGCAACAGCAACAACAGCTGCTACTTCACAGCAGAACAGAAAGGGTGTGACTTGGAGGAAACACACACAGCAGATGACTTCAATAGTCACCTGAAGTCAATTTTTAGTTTGGAATGTATTTGACCCAGTCTTACTAGATCAAAAAACAAACCAATATTTTTGTGTCATTCCTCTTTTATGTTAACATTTCCTATCAAAAGAGGAAATAGGAGTGGAGTAAATAGTTCATACCCATAACTGCAGCACTGGGAAGGCTGAAATGGGGGGGGGGGGTCAAAGACAGCCTGGGCCACATAGGAAAATAGTATCACTGTTGATACTTTGACTCATGACCAGGAACCAACCTATCAGATTCAGAATAAGGAAAAAACAACTCAGATACTAAGCTTTAAGAGTGCAATTTCTTAAGGAAAGAGCAATTCAGATATTAAATTACAGCACCATAATTTCTAAGAACTTGCATCTGCAGTTTGAGGTAAACACGAGTCTCATCTGCAGACATGCGAGCGCCACAGCATGGCCCTGCTCGCTGTCCCTATGCTCTGTTGCGTGTGGTTACCTGGCAGAGCTCTTCAGCTACATCCAGCATCCCTTGTCGGAAGAAGTGCTCCACCATCACCTCGTTGAGAAGCCGCTGGCTGTCTGCCTGCCAGCAGCCATCTATTCCCACACTGCTAATGTCAGAGTCAAAATTCTGCAAGGAAAACAGCAAAGAATCATGGACAGAGGACTTTCTTTTTCCACCCCACCTAACAAAGGGCTACACCTTACTTTGCTACCAGTAAGTGGCTAATCCAACTAATTCATCTATACAATCATAGGCAGGAATTTTCATATCTTTTAACTCTGTTCACTCTTGGGGATTACTGCTGAAATAATCACATATATTAAAAAATAACATGAGAAGCACTTTGGGGAAATGTATAAATTAAACACTGATTTCTGTGAAAAGAAAATCAATAAACTAATTTCTGGGCATTATACTATAGCAATATTTTCAGAAGCATGCTATAGTAATCTGTTAAAGTATGCCCAATACAGCACTATCTGTAACGCAAAGGACAGAAGCACACATATAACACATCTCCATCAACAAAGGACTCGAAATAAACCATGCTATCTATAGCCCAACAACTGCAGTTCTGAGTCTGGGAGAAAGGAGATGGAAGGCCAGGTGGGAAAAAGGGCAGTTTACATATTACTGGGCCTACACTTGAGCTATGGATACATAGTTCTGACCCCACGGAGCACACTGTAGACTTTGAAAACCGAAGGGGGGGGGCACTGGATCTGCTGTCTGCATGGTGACAGGCAGCACAAATTCCTATGGGAACCGGGTACACATCAACTGGTACAGGAGAGGAAGGGACAAGCACCAGGGTCAATAGGTCAAACGCTGAAGCCCAAGACTTCCAAGCTATCATCACAAAAATATTTCCAAGACAAGGGCAAACACTCTTTAAATGTTTGTTTGTCTGTCTGTTTTTTATTGCATGCATGTGTGAAGGGAAAAGGGAAACAGTTACTATGGGAGGCAGAAAACAACTTGTTCTCTTCTTCACCACAAGAGTCCTAAAGATAGAACTCACAGGCTGAACCCCACCCATCTCAGGCCACTGGAGTCAAACACTCTTGAAACATCAAGGATACACATAGTAAAGAGTCAGAAGACACAGTGACCAAAATAAACGCACTACAGACACAAAAAAGCAGGTACAAAGTAGCAGTGTAAGATGCCAGCACATAGAAATATTAGCTAGTTTGAACAACAGAAAAACAAGACTCTAAACAAAACACAAAGGAGCAGAGCATCAACAACTGGGAAAATAACAAAGGACTTAGAATGTGCCATCAGAAAAATCAAAGGATGGAAAAAAGAACTACCAAAGAAATACGCTCACATACAAGAAGAGGGGGAACTCCAAAAAAGGACAAGTTCAAAGAAATTCTACTGAGAATATTAAAACACTAAAATCTAAATAAAACAAAAATAAGCCAAGAAAAAAGGCCTGTTAGGCTAAAGAGATGGTTCAGCGGGACTAAGACCCATTCATGTCCCAAGCACCCATGTAAAGCTGGATACAGTAACCAGAGCTAAGGCAAGATGGGCAGCAGAGGCAGGAGAATCCCCAGGACTGCATAGGCCAAGCTAGACACACAGCAGGAACAAGAGACCCTGTCTCAAATCAGGTCAAAGACCAGAACAGCTGCGGCTGCCATGCCCCTGTGTGTGTGTGTGCATGCGCCTGTGTGGTGTGCATGTGTGGATGCGCCTATGTGTGTGTGTGTATGTGTGTATGCGCACAGACTTAGAGGATAAATGGCTTGTTACTTCCAGAGGGACTATGATTTCAATAATTATAATTTCTCAACAGAAACTATGGAGTTAAAGGGATATTTTCCTAGTAGCAAAAGAAAAAGTCAGTATTCCCAGAATTATATATCCAGTAAAAATATCCTTAGGAAAGGAAGAAGTAGTAAGCATTCTCAAAGAATTGTTAAGAGTAAAGAAAGAACAAATCTTTATCATGTTCAAAGTTTTCTGTCTAGTTCATTTTTGCCCTTTGCCTTATATAGGTATTATACTTTAATAAGTCCTACCATTTATTGTTTAAAAACTACACAGATCAATGAGACAAGATCATCTGGTGAAATTACAATTCTAGGCAACTAGCCTAATCAACAGGATACTAGTTTTAGAATATAAAATAGACTAAGTAACCTGCAATCACAATGCAAACAACTTACTATTTACAATGACCAATAGAGTGCTCCTCTCCAGAACTGAGCACATTTTCCCACAGTGATCTCTCCTGTTTTAGTAGTTCATGTAGGAGCCCAAGTAAATACATCAAAATATGGAATCACTCAGGCAAAATGAAAGCCAAAGAAACTCAGTTGTTACTATGTCTTAATTTTAATATAATACTTTTTCTTCATTTTCAATCTTTATTTACTCTTTGACAATTTCATACATGTATGTAATATATTTTATCATATACATTCCCCATTTGCCTTGTTTTATTGCTACTTCTAGACTACTTCTTCTCCTAATAAGTACCCTCCTAATTCATGTCTTTTTTTTTTTTTCTTAATAACTCAGGAGTTAAACTGGGGGTTACTTGCATAAACACAACTGTGGGTTATTTACTGGAGTATGGGTAATTTAACAGTAAAGAAAAGCAGACATTAGCAGCCAAAAGCCCCTCAGCCTGCCCGGGGTCTCAGCCTGCCCGGGGTCTCAGGAGTCCTCCCTCACTGTTGTTTTCTAATAGGATCTCTTATACTAGAACTTAACCTAACCAGTGGAAAAAACATAAATAATTTAAATGCTAAAATAATATACACATGAACTTATCAATAAACCACCATCACCCATAAAGTTAGAGTTTTACTTCTGCTTATCAGAGAGCCTATCTCTGACATTTTAAAAAAGTCATTTGTATTTTGTGTGCTGTCTATAATAACCAAAACACAAGAGTGCTGGCATTTTGCTCTTCTTCTGAACTCAACTAGAAACCCAAAGAATAATGGGGCTATTTTACTGCTCCAGAGGCCATTCAAATGAATAAAATAATGAGTATCTAATGATGTAATTTACTGCAAACTCGGGAATATGCCTAGCATTCTCCACATGCTTAAGCTTATGTAACAATCAACCACTTAGAGTTATACCCATCACTGATCTGTGAACAAACACAGTCCCCAGGGTGGTAATAACTCATCTAATAATTACTTCTCAATCTTACCTCCTATAAATTTGTTACCAGGCATTTAATTCCCCATGAAAGAAAGAAAACCACGATGGAAAATAAATATGCTTTCAAAGATATTTTTACTTGTTGATATGTATTAATCAATTTTCTTGTTTTTAGAAACAGGGTGTCATGTAGCCCAGGCTGGCTTCCAACACACTATGTAATAAATAATAAAGGCTGACCTTGAATTCATGACCTCCTGGCTTCCTCACAGTGCAGACTACATTATACAGGCACCATGACTAACATACTGTCAGAATTTTAGTAGTCACTGGTCCTCTCCTGCTGACAGACTACACTTCCCGCTTTTCTTGAGGACTACAGAAGGGATTTCTGCCCGTATGAATGACCATCCCATCCTCCTCTGTAGGTATTTTGACCATTCACACATGCGGGCAATGAAGATGCCATTTGCCGTGAATAAACATGGTCCTGCCCAAAGTCAGACCAAGCCTCTTTCCACCTTCTCTCTTACAGCTGCCTTTAATAAAATAATCAACAGTTATCACCAACAGTTTGCTCACATAATAAAATTATTTGGATAATTAATTTCTTGGAGATACATACTAAAAATAAATGCTAATTACTGAGAAAACTTTAAAACACAACAGCCCTACAGTAGAACGTCTTTAGTCACACTGAAGCTTTGTAACCGCTGCTGTCCTGGACAATGCAAGCTTCGGAGCTCCCTTCTATCACCCTGACTTGTCACTTGTTTATGTCCTACTTGGATATAATCACTAATAAAGGACGAGGAAGAGGTGCAGATTCTCACTCTGTTGCATCAGAGCTGGCACTCCCTCCAGCTTGTTACTAGGTGACCAAACACTCACTTGGCTATCCAGGAAATCAGCAACGCTATAAACCAGCAGGAACACCTGTCTATAGTTAGCACTATTAGCATCATCTACCTTACTCTTTACTTTCGTATTCTTAAAACAATGAAAACAGCCTATATGTAGCACCTGGGAAGCTAAGACCAGAGGGTCCTGAGTCACAGTCAGCATGAGTTTCACAGCAAGACCCTGTGTAAAGTAAAAATCATACAATATGTCAGGCATGGTGGTACACACCTTTAATCCCAGCACAAAGTGAGAACCAGGCCTACACAGAAAACCCCTGTCTTGAAAAACAATCAATAAAGCAAAGAGAAGCCAGACATGAAGTTCTTACTGGGAGAAAGGATTCAAACAAGGACCAAAAAAGAAAAAGTACATGTTCAAGGGTGTGTCCATCTGTGCAGAATGCAATAAAGCAGGAAAAAGAAACACACAACACATTAAGTCTGGAGACTGAAGGGTGAGGGAGCACACAAGCATCAGGAGACCTGTGCTGTCTCTTTGGACGGCTCATCAACTTAAAGACCAGTTTTCACTGCTCACCAGATACATCCATAAATCATAGTTACTAGCAGTTCATGCTAAAAACAGTACTGCTTTAATCCCCAAGTGTCAACTCTCAGTGTTACTTTTAAGCTCCCCATCTACTTTGAAGAAAACTTGGTTTATGACCCCAACAATCGTTGCACTGTAAGTCACTGCTGCTGGGTTAGAAAGAGCAGACTCCAAAGGACTCTCAACAGAGGAAACAGACCTGGACTGGGAGGAGATAGCTACTTCACACTCAACTCAAAGGTTACTCTGAGAGGAATATGGAAGGAAGCAAACCCTCCAACTGATGACACAGACTGAGGAAAATCGTGGCCATCCTATGGTCACATGTGAAGAGATGCTCCACCTCAAAAGATAAGAAAAGTAAAGTAAGACCAAACAAGATTTCACACCCATCTGGTTAACCTTTTAAAATCTGGCAATTGCAAATGTAGTGAGAAATGAGGGAACAGAACTGTCAAACACGCTGGGCAAGTTTGTAAACTGGTATAATCCCCTTAGGGGGAAATCTGGCAATACCCTGTTGCTGATGATCAGGTGCAGGA